TCTTTTCAACTTAGCTTAAGTCTCTCTTTTACCAATGCACAATCGCAACTGGTGTCTGCATGCAAGTCGGTCACCTCATATTCAGTCCAATTATAAAAATAGCAGGCTATAACTTGAAGTGGACATGATGTGACTTTTCAGCATGTGGAAGCCCAAGTAGTCCCAGCATTTGATGGAACGGGATCCCCATATTTAACTGAATCCTTAAGAGTTACAGTGACTTATTGTCAGCTTGTTTTCAGGGCTTTGCCATAGAGGGAACAAACTATAAACTTAAGCATCTGTTAAGAGGTGTTAAGGCGAGCATAACATTCGCCATAGACTCACTGGCAACTTCTTTAGGTACACCTTATCAGTGTAGAGTTTATATGGAATGGTTTGAGAGTGGTTTGAAAAAGAGAAAATATCCAGTGAGCGTCAGTTCTCTGGGTAAAAATGTGTGGACATGAGACTGGCTAGATTGTTTTGCGCTGATAGGAAGAAAATAGTAACTCAAATAACCACTCACTGCAACCAAACGATGCAGAAGTGCATCTCTGAATGCACAGCACACTGAACCTTAGAGCAGATGAGCTACAGCAGCACCCTCTCCTAACCGCTAAGAACACTAAACTGAGGCTACAATTCATACATGTTCACTAAAAATTGGACAATAACATACTGGAAAAAGATTTCCTGGTTGGAATCCCAAATCACAACAGCGCAGTCACCTCAAAGCCATTGCTGTTGTGATTTGGCAGCAGACGGTAGCATCAGAATTTCTTGCAAACAGCATGAAAGCATGGATCCAGTCTGCATTGTGTCAACAGTTCAGACTGCTGGTGGTGTGGAGCATCCTCGGCCTCCGTATTGTTGCTGACATGTCCGTCTCTTTCTGTCCACATTGTCGTATTTTCTGATCTCAAACAGCTTTTGCAGTGACAAGTCTAATAGAGCACCTTTGGGATGTGGTGGAATGGGACGTTCCCATCATAGATGTGCATCCAACAAATCGTCAGCAACTTTGTGATGCCGTCATGTCAATGTGGACCAGAATTAGGACAGTTCGAAAGAAAAAACGGACACCAAATCAGAACTAGCATAGTGTAGCAAACAAAGTGGGCGAGTGCATGCAGATAGCAATCTGACTGAAAATAAGATCAATATAAGAAAATAACAAAGACAGGAGTGACTCCTAGATTATAAAATTAGATGTTAGCTGGATAAGAATTGTCTGCTTAATTGTATACTCTAAGAGAAGAGTGAAAAGTGCAACTTTAACCATTACAACAAATCTGCACAATTGCTGCTGTTGTCAGTTGGAGAGAATCAACAAGTCGTAAATAGTGAGACCTGCCAGTTTGGCTCAAAATTAACTCAGCGTAGATCAGGATTGACGGTGAGTTTGTGCCAAAGCTAAACTGAAAGTGGTGCAGCTGTTTGGTTTGAAGCTGTGCCCTGCAAAGACACATGTAGAAAAGATGTTTGGCTTTTTTGGTGGTGGGGGGATTAATCGACCAGCAGAGTGACTGATACTAGCTGGTGGTTGCAGATAAGAAGTCTGGCAGGTGACTTTGATGTGGCTGACAGCTTTCTGTTAGTAATGTGGAGATTGATTTTCGTTGCTTTCGGTAGCCCTGTTTAAACTCTTGATTTTAAACACTTTTTCACACGATGAGCGCATCGACTGCTCCCGTTTAACAACCAATTAATCATGTTGCTGTGACTAAAGGGAAATTTGTTTATGATATATAACGTCCTCGCTTGCCTTGCTGTTAGCTGCATTTAGTCTATAGTTAAACAGCCATTTTCACCGTATTTATCTTATGAAAAGGCAAATAATCACTTAGTGGATTTTCACTATAAAATAACGGGTGTTAATGAAGTTCTTCCAATAAATATGGTAAATTCATGAGAAATGATTTGGTTGTCTATTTGGGTATTTTCTTTTTGAGTCTTGCCTGCATGCTGTGGAATTTGATGATGATTCAAGACTCAGAGCCAAGTAGTTCCCTTGGGACCCCAGCGTTTATAGCAGTTGGGCCCAGTGGGCCAATTTGATGGAAAAGGACAAAGTATATGTATCCGTGTGTATGCATGTGACTGTGAATGTGTGTGTGTCTTTGTAAGCAGCTTTCTAAAGCCGCACTGCTTCAGATACGGCCTATCGAAGCGTGTCAGGTTCCCTTAGTCATCAGGGGCAGATAGCAACAGTCCTCAGTGCTGAAAAGGAAGGAAAGACTGGGTAGCGAAGGAGGACGTGGAAAAAGAATAAACAATCTGGAGTGGTAGAGAAAGAGCTATAAATGAGGAAGTTTTAGTAAAAACAACTGCGAAAATGCACCAGGACTCACCTAAACAGGGCCACATTTCCCCCGGTGTGATGCTTGGCTATTAGTCTGATTTTAGCACTCTTAGATGGGAATGAATTGCATTCGAACCGAGGATGTCAGTAGGGGCCGAGCCTCCATCCATTGAGACATTCAGGGACTCCATTACACCCTGATGGGCAGGGATGGAAAACCAATCGTGGGTGTATGGGTGCAAGGGGGAAATGCAATGTATTGGTGCTGGGAAACACACAGACAGGCAATCTGGCATGATGAAGAGGCTCCCTTCCCTGCTCCTCCTTTCGGACCCAGCACGTCCTCCTGCGTCCCCTTCATGCCCCACTGCGCTCTACTGCAGTGCCTTGCCAGCTGACCAACCCGACACCTACCACACTCATTCGCACTTTCCCGCTTTCCCTATTTCCTCCCAGGTCTCACTGTGAGCCCCGACAGCATGTATCCATTCACATTATCACATTGGGAACTGAAGCAGAGATGGATTTCATCGGAGGGAAATAGATGGGAGTCGTGTTTTTGAATAGAGGGAGAATGTAATTTATGATTTTTCTGAAGTTCAGCAGATTTGTTGGTAGCCCCGGTTCAGATTTGTTGCTGAACTCAGGGAACCTCGATGGCTCCAAGGTTAGCTGCGGTATACTTAACCTCCCTTCTGACAGCAGGGATGTGCTGCTGTTAGAACGGTGTTAGATAGACCTGTTAGTGTCAGGATGATAAATTCATTAGGAGTGGCTAAGGAATACAGCTATTTATACAGCTACAACAAATCATTGCTATAAAAGCCTTGGACTCAATCTCATTGAGAAGTGTGAATCACAGTGAGTCTGGAATTGAAGAATTAGATATTTATTGATTTTTAATGATGCTTGGCTGGCTTTCTTGTACTCGTACCTTTAGTCCACTTCCTTTTTTGGAGGACTGGTATAATAAAGCATGCACTTTAATGTCAAGATGCAATACTCAATGTAGTAATTTAACTCTATTAGGTATTATTGAATGTGTATGGCCATTTTTAAAAGCACACATTGTGTTTTTAAGTTTTTAGAATGATATATTTATTGATTTTTGCTGTTTGCTCTATATTTATACAGTGTTTGTGGCTGCTTGTGATAACTGTTATTCTACAGTTCCTAAAATGTATTGCTAAGTAGAGTATTTCTAAGTGGTCAGGGCAATCATTTAACCTCTGCTAAAGATTTCGTGTTCAGTCAGAACAGCTACAGTCAAAAAAAAGTCCACCTGCAGCCAACTCCTGCAGTAACCTGAGACCTCCCCTTCACTCCATATGTATAAATGGAAGCGGAGAGAGCAGCAGCAGCAAGACCCCAACAGAGAGCAATGCAGTCGTGATATTTATTAGGTCTTCCACAGCATGAAAGAAGGAGCTGGGGTGGAAGTGGGCTGCAAAGCAGTTTGCACAGCAGCCAGCAGCCGTGGGAAGGTTAAAGCAGCTTAAACAGCATGCCCAATATGAGATTTGTCGGTTGGATATGTAGAAGGCCATCAGCAGAGCCATCTGTTGATGTGGGCTGGCAGTAAGATCACTAACGCTTTGAATTTGATATGTTTAAAGCAGGTAAGAAACAAGTGGGGTGATGCATTAGAGAACTGACAGAGCACCAGGGATGATACCATGGTTTTGTTGATGTTATTGGGGCTCATGTTCCATAATCCAACTAGAAAGGTGCTCTGAGAGTTCTGACCTCTGTCAAGACCGATAGTCTACTCTTCAGTGATGTGAAAACTACATAAATATCTGGATATTTTTCCCGATCAGTTCAGATCTGCACCAAAATTTCATGGGATTATCCTTTGGCCACGCTTCACTTGGCTCTGTATTCCTGCTGGAAGACAGCAACAAATGACAAAAAAACCAAAAAACTTTTACAGAGCTTCTGCCTTCTCGGTAAACGTAATTATTTTTTTCATTCAAAATTTATGGTCTGTGGTCTACAACTTCTTCACAAATTAAAGTTCAGAGTCTGTACTTTAATCTCCTTGTCAATGTTGTCTTTTGCCACCCTCGCCTGTGAAAGCTGTGGCCACATAGTGCCAGTTCTCATACCGCAGAAAATCTTTTCATTACTGAAGATCGGGTAACAAAGAAAATAAATAAATAACTGCTAAAATATATATTATATATTCATTTGTGTGCATGCGTGTGCTTTATGGGTGTTTTACTAAAATGTGCGCAGCTGAGCGGCCCCACTGTGAGCCAGGTAAACAAATGTTTCATAACTGGTGATGAGGCGGTGCCATGCTGAAGATTTCTCTAACGAGGGCTTGTTTGCGTGGGTGGAACAAAAACACGTTTTTAGATCCAGACTAGTACATTACACGAGCCTCAGTGCCTCACTCACTGAAAAATATGTGTTTTCTGAATATGCCCATTACCACAGACCCTCGGGCTATCCTTGCCTGTAGTTCATCATAACAGATTTAACAGATTTAATCTGAGCTATTCTTTCCTTTGACTGTCTGCTGGCAACTTGCTATTTTATCCCGCAGTTCGCATCCACATTCTCTTGATTTTAATCTCTTTTTTTTTCACGCTTCTCCTGTTTGTAGACGTCTGCTGCATTTTAAACATCACCTCAAAAGCAAAAACTCCTACATCTCAGTAGCAAATAATTAAAGTGGAACGCATAGTCTGACATCAGTGTCTCTGTGCAGGTGCCCTATGTCAAGGTGGCTCCAGAGGACATTTTGAAGGTTCATTTCCCCCGCTTCACCACTTTGGACCTGAGACCAACAAACACCGACATCAGCCTGGCCGTGGCCGGCCTTCTCACCTTCTTCAACAGCACCACCGCCTGCCTCATCTGTGCCCAGGCTGACTGTGAGTACAGCATTCGCACACTCGTGACCAATGTTCCCTCAAATTTTTCATGTGTCTGAGCGAACACACAGAGCGATCCCTTGGACCACTGTGAGCGACATCAGACGTGTGCACTGTGGTCACGCCAGCATCGAATCCATCCAATTTACATGGTTTATTAAAATAATCAAATTACAGCATTTACATTTATGTTAGACTACTTTTAATTAACTGCTTTAGCCCACTTACAATGAAAATGTAAAAAAAATCTTGTTCATGACCTGTGTAGTATGTTAACACTATTGGAAGTAAAAATAACTTGAACTCCAATTTTGAAAACACAACTTTCTTTCTTTTTTTCTTTTTTTTTATAAAGCTCTGATGAGTCTGTGGTCTGGGAGAGAGTCCTGTAACTCTCTGTCTGCAAAATACAGCATATAAAGACCAGTGCAGGGCAATTAATTATATAGTTACTTCTTCAAAAAAGTTACTGAGTTTTGCAAACAACAAAGTTTTTTGCAACTGTTTACCTAAAAATGCAGCCAAGGCGTTTTGTGCCACTCCTAAAAATAATTTCTGTCCACTATGAACAACAGCCTGACACCTGCAGGCCTGACAACAGGAGATGTATCACTCCTGTAACACCTGTAACATTCAGCAGTCGCCTCATTGTTCTGACACACACAACAAAACTATTGACTACACTACATGCTAACTACACAAGATTTGCACTAAACGTCGCAAATCTCTCACATCTCGAAACACCGCCGTCACTCCTAAAACTTCCTCCCGTTTCTTAACAACTAAATGCCATGTTTTGATTGATCGACGTGGTACATTTTTCGACCAATGTGAAAGGGTGGCGGGTGTTTTGGTTTCATCTTTGCTCACAGGCGGAGAGCGCTTTCAAGCGTTTTCCTTATAAAACGCCGTTTTTACCGTTTCTTCCCGCAGTAAATATAAACAACGATAGTACTCAGGAAGAAAAACAAACACTGCGTATATTTTGTATCACAACTCTGGTTTTACGTGGCCTATCAACACAATTTAACAAGTGGTATAAAGTCCACACTTTTTCCGTCTGTTCCGTCTGTCCTGCTCACATCTCCAATGGTTGTACATGTTGTCATTAACGTGGCTTCACTCCTCATCAGTCACGCCGCTTTGCCAGCTAAAACACCAGCACATAAGGACGCTGTCATAGCCTGTCAACGACATTGATTAGCTGCGTATATACGAATGTGAGTCGCGTGATTGGCTGGACTATGGGATAAGGTGGCATCGTTGTAATCCCATACTGGAGCAGCCAGTCACTTATTGACTAACACTGCAAAACAGAATTGTTAACGTATTTACTTTAATTTCAGTTCAGGTTAGGGTTTTTTTTTTTGTGCGCAACACAGATTTTTTCTGTGCAGAGACAGTGCCAGCAGTGCGCATTGTGCACGCGTGCAATTTAGAGGGAACATTCCTTGTGACAAAATATACAATCGCACATACCTGTGGGGAAGACTCGCAAACTGTCTCCCCTACATCTGCCATCAAAGTGCAAACATTTTTGTTTAACGTCTGCCACCCTTTAACACGTGTTAGCGTGCACAGGCATCTCGCACACGCGCCGACTGTGTTCTGGCAACAGATGCAGCTTTTATCAACATCTCACCCTGCGACACGTTTCCTTCTAAAGCAGCTGCTGCACTCCACAGCTACAACTCCCTCACAGCGGCACGCCCGACGCCTGCGTCCCAAAAATAAATTGCGTTTATTTCGTCTCCCTTTTCAAGATCATTGTCATTTATTAAATTAACTAAATTACGATTTAGCGCATTATGTTGTATGTGATGTATAAACTGTCTTCAGTCTCGCTGGGTTTTCTGTAAGACTGTGTGTGCACTCTTAAAACACTTTGCGCAAAACAAAACATCTCGTTGAGAGAAACAAAAGGAAAGTAAGGGCAGAGGTTGCAACTCTAACAACCAGTGATCTGACCGCCCCCTTTGTCAGTGTCAGTTGGGTTCTGAAGATACTTAACTGAATGACCTTAAAAACGATTGAAAATCTCTTTGAGAGAAGTTATTTTTGTAAATAGAGACGAAGATTAGATCATGGCTTGTTCCCACCCTCTTCTAGTTCAGCATGCAGTAATTACAACTCCCAAGACAAAGGCACCGTGACCCCCTGAGTGGCACCAGCTAACCTTTTTTCTAATCAGCACAAGCCTTTGAAGACAGGAAATAGGCTGCAGATATCAACCATGTGTCAGACAGAGTAGAGATGGCAATGAGCCACAGTGAGCTGCCTACCCCGCCTATCTCAATTCTCAGTTCTGCTGGCTTTCAACTTCTCTCTTTGGTTGTCTTTGGCTCTATACTTTGGAGTCTCCTTTCATTCATAACCTCTAAGGTGAGTTTTTTCCCTCTTAGATGTGTGCTAGGCGTGTTACATCAAAACATGCTAGTTTTGTTTGGGGGGGGGCTTTCACTTTTTCATGCAAATTCGGGGACAATAAATGAATCAGAGAAAAAAAAAAGTTTTTTTTTTTGTTATTTTAAACAGTTAAACAATTCCCAAGATGAAAAATGGTATAAATTAATTAAACTTACTAAAAGACAATCCTGTGTTTCTATCTGTGGTTTACCTGCACCTACTTTGCCCATATAAATAAATATTAAGGGGTGCAATATGTAGTTTTCCTACATATTTCCTGTATCTGTGAGTTTTCCAGTTCAGGGATCAAATCCTGTTTCTGTGACATTTATTCCACAGAGAGTCGTATTAATGCCGCTCTGGTGCGGTGCGAACCATGATAACAAGTGAACCTTTTAGGCACTCTATCCCTCTAATATTGGTGGCCACCAATATTAGTTTATTTTAGTTTATTTAAATTTAAATTAGTTATGCAATTTAAATTAGTTTATTTTCCCCAAACCCGGGTTTGGGGAAAATAAACTAATTTTAACATTGCGCTTCTTATTCCCTTTGGCCGTGTCAGTGGGTGCGGGGTTTGGTGGGGAGGTTCTTATTCTGTGTCAGTGAGCTAAGAGATGACTGCAAAGGAAATTAAATGAGAAGAAGGAGAATGAGGGGAGATGAGAGGTAGATAGAAGAGACCAAGGGGAGTCTGAAATGAGAGAGGAGGAGGAGAGCGGAGTATGCTTCTTGGATGATATGAAAGAGTGTGGAGCGGGAAAGCGAGGAGGTAACCACACTGGAATTATACATTAGCAACAGGCAGGAGACGGTCCAGGACATGACATGGCTGTATTGATTGCACTCTCTCATGTGACCCTCATTCATTCAACAGAAAATGCAGGAAATGGCACTATGCCTGGATTTGTGTGTGTGTTGGTCGAGGATTGTGTTCAGCAGCACCATCAGCTGAAACTCATTCGAGTTTGGCTCCTACTGCACCAGCTCCACCCTTCTTTGTCAGCTTACACAGTCATTTGGTCGGTTGGCAGCCTGCTGTCAGTTACTCGTTCACATGTGCCAGCCTCATTAATCACCCAAGCCAGTGACAGCCTAATAGAGCGTGGCCAATCCATGAATATTTTCCAGTAATGGCTGAGGAGGCAGCACTGGAGGTGAAGCTGTGCCCAAAGGCATGGTGCACACCAGCACGAACATTAATCTAGCTAGTCCTCGCTAACAGTGGCAGTGGTGCTGTGAGACTGTAATACGCAAAGTGTTGTTGAGTCTTTAGACCTGCCAGGTGGCCCCACAGGTTGTTTATTTCTTGTGGTTTGGGCTTTAACAGGAAGAAATAACACATGAAAACTGCATGCACAGAATTCGCCGGTGTGCTGCACTGCTCTTTTATTCGTGCAGTGATTGGTTCAGCTGTCAGTAAGCTGAAAATGGAACATCAAATAAACTCAACGTATCTGTAGCTGCAGTGCAGGTACAGAAATTTTAGGTTCAGTCGTATAGTTGTCCATGAATGCTTGCAAAAGCCTATTTTCCTTCTTTGATAGACTCAGCTGGAAAGCAAGGTTAGGCCTTAGGCTTATTATTCTTTCTCTGCTAATAATTGTATGCCGATGCCATATTATGAATTGCAATTTTCCATTTCTTTCAGGTTCCAGGGATGACTACTATGTCTCTCCATGTTTCACACGCAATGGCATTACTATTACTAACCTGTAATCAGCGTTAGTCGGGTGGAAGAGATATCTAAATGACCTGTCAACAGGAATGTGTATGAAGGTGTGAGAATGATGGGAACGCAGTAATGCAGAGGAGGGTCTTGGGGAGGAAAGGCTCTCTGATGACTTTGATCATAGTAATTATGTCGTGGCTACTTATGTTTCTGATGCAAAAGGCAGCAATGTCAGTAGACAGCGTAAAGGTGGTGGTGCAAGTTGTCATGGTTTCTTTTGTTGCACTTTGTAATTGAAAAATCTTCTCATTGAATAGATGAAGGCAGTAGGAGTGTCTTGGTGCTTTATGAAATAATGTTGACTCAGAATAATGAGTTTTTAGATTTGTGGAGAGTGAGTTTGTATCCACAGGTGTAATTGTGCAGAATTTATCTTTACTAAAGAAAAGTGCAAAGTTGGTCTGTCTGTCTAATTAAAAAATGGTAAAAGCCTTTTATGCAGATTTCTCACTCGTGGCTCTGTGATTGGTCTGTTTAAAGCAGTGGATGACAGAAGCTGTCTCACACTCCTTGTCCGACACTCCCACTTATCAACAAATCAGTGTTGTTTTTTTAACTGATTTTTATTTTTTTCCTTTTTGCTTGAGGCTTTACGTTATTTTTAGTCATCAAAGTCATCAGCTTTGGAAGTTTTTAGACATTTTAAATTAGGAGAGGAGATGTTTGTTAAAAACAAAAAACATTATAAATAGCTAAATCAAGTGATTAGGACTGTATGCTACGTAGTTCAGCTTCTGTACAATTACCCAACTGAGTCCATGCATGAATATCACAGGTAACTGTCCAGAGAGCTCAGAGGGAGTAAGCTGGAATCATGTTTTTCCTCCTGCACGCTCTACCTGGACACAGATTATCCAAAACC